ACTACTACTACTACTGCCATTGCGCGACCACTGTAGATCATGTTCATCCTCCCTCCTCTGAAATTCCGCCTGCGCGTCATCCCCTTTCCTCAGGGCACGTCAAAAGGCAGACCGCAGGCCACCGACAACGCCATCCGATCACAGCCTCTGCGAGAGTCGCCGCCGCAGCCACGCCGATCGAGACGCAGATCGCGCAACTGGGCCGGACAAACCGCTCGACCCAACCCAGACAACCTGGAGGGGGCAAGGGGATGTTGCCGGATGTCCTCGTGGGTGTCTTACCACTGGCGGTGGTTCCTGGAGGTCTCGAGGGGGGGGGCCGTTCTCGGGGGATCCTGGGGATTTCTGGTGGGTCCTCGAGGTTTTGGGCGGAGGTGGAAGTGGAGGAGGGGGGAGGGAAGGGGGGAAGGGGGGGGAGGGACAGGGGGGGAAGGGGGGGGGAGAGAGACAGGGGGGAGGGACAGGGGGGGAAAGGGGGGGGGGCGGCAACGACGAAGAGGGAGCCAGACCCAGACGAAGGGAGGAGAGCACGCGTCCTGACAAGTGGCCCAGGCTTCAGCCGGCAGGCAAAGTTCTGCAGGACCGAGAATGTTCTCAGCGAGTAAGTCACGACAAGATTGGAATCCTGCGTCTGAGGAAGTATGCGGAAGATGCGGGGGCAAAGCAGCACAGTATCCAGGGAGAGGAAAATAACACTCGTATGGTGTGCCGAGCGAGAAGGTAGAGGGCAGGGTGGAGGGGGGGAGCTACAGCGGGGGTGGTGAGGGGAGGAAAGGAGTTGATGGGTGGAGGGACAAGGATGACGGGACAAGGAAGGGCAGGGAGTGGAGCGAGGAACGAGGAAGCGAGGGGCGAGGGAGAGGGAAAAGGGGAGGGTGGGGCGGAAGAAGGAAGGTGAAAAGCAGGGCGTAAAAAGATTGAAGGATGGACGGGCACAGTTGGGCCTAGGCCAGAAGAACATCCCCCAAGAACATGAGACCCTCCGCCGGCCAAACCGAAGTACATTCGAGGGTACCCTCCCCCAGGAAGCACCGAAACATCCAACACGCACGAAGAACACGAGAATATCCTCTCCGCAACGACCTTGATCTGATGCCTCGGTCCGACTGTAAAACTTCTACTGTAGAAAGTAGAAGGGTGCACGGCTGGGAACGGGCGGGGAGGTAGGGAACGATCGCGAACCGTGATCCATCGGCAGATGCCAGGGCCGCGTCAGATTTGCCTTGCTCTTCTTGTGGAGCTTCTTCAGCCCATCGCCAAGTGCTCTGGCGTAGGACTTGTCTGCATCGACGGAATAGCGATCTGCCGCGAACTCGTTCGCGCGGCTGTGCACGTTCAGAGGGATCGACACGACGAAGTCAATCATTCCCCAGACGTAGCCGAACAACACGATCCCTAGATACACCTATCGGGCAGCCGAAACTCACCCTGGATTCTCGACGACGAGCGTCACAAAAGCTGCCTGGGAGGGAATGGGAGAGCGGGGGGGAGGAAGCAGAGGGGGGGGAGGCACGAAGAGAGCGATGACGACAACGCGGACCAGCAGGACAAGGGGGACGAGAGTGAAGGAGAGAAGAATGAAAAAGCAGGAGGCAGGAGGGAGGAGGGAGCATGGAAAGAGGAGGAGGGAGCCGGGCACACGGAGGAGAAAGGAAGGAGAGGCAAGGAGCAGGGAGGGAAAGAGGAGGGGCAAGGAAAAAGGACGGAGGCGAGGGAGGAGGCTGGAGGCAGAGAAAAGCAAAGGGGAGGAGGAGGAGGAGGAGGAGGAGGAGGAGGAGGAGGAGGAGGAGGAGATTGAGGAGGAGGAAGAGGAGGAGGAGGAGGAGGAGGAGGAGGGAGGAGGGAGGAGGAGAAGGATGAGAAGGAGGAGGAGGAGGAGGAGGAGAAGGAGGAGGGTGGAGAAGGGAGGAGGGAGGAGGCGGGGGGAAAAAGGAGCAGGTGAACGGGGAGGGAACGAGCCCTGATGTGTTAGTCCCTTTCTGTGATGGCTGCATAGAGTGTTCCCTGTCGCTCGCCTTTGGATCTGGCACGAAGAACGCGGAGCTGATGACCGGCGACGTCAGACACTGTCCCATCGCGAACAGGGTGACAAATAATTTCAGGATGCCCAAAAACAGGCGAGCGTGAGCGTGGTGGAGTCTGTCGTGCCCAATTTCATGTGCGAGCATGGCCACCATCTCGTTCTCCTGCATGACAGGCAGCAACGTGTCGAACAGGCATATCCTCCGGAACCTGCCAAACCCCGTGCAGAACCCATTGCTGTGTTCACCCTGGATGGGCCCGTCGACGACATAGATGTTCGCGCCTGTGTAACCCAGCTTCTCCGCCAGTGATAACAGTCTTGTCTTAGGTCGGGCATGTCCTCCTACAGGCGGATTTCCGACGAAAGCTCCAAAATAGTCAAAACAGATGCCGAAATAGTCAAAATAATCAAAGAATCGTGCCCTGATTATATTTTCACTATTTTTGAATTTTTCTCCTGTAGAGGAACGTGCCCGACTTAAGTCTGGTCCTCAAGGAGCCGACATCGACACACGAAGACCTCGCAGAGTCTGGCAGCAGCGGCTCTTCAGGGCTGCCTGCGTCAACGGCGTCCTTGGCAAGGGACTTGGCATGCGAAGTGAGCACCCACTCCGTCACTTGCCCAGCGACTGGGGGCGTGCTTTGACTCCTTCCCTGGCCATCCCGCCGCATCCTCCTCGTCCTTTCGTCACGCTTGCGCGCCCTGGTGGAAGAGAGGCGGCGAGGCGAACCGGGAGCGGGAGGCAGAGAAGACGCAGGTGTGGGAAGGACCAGAATGCGGAGGGAAGGGTGGGAAGGAGAGCGACGGTGGGAGAAGGGTGGGGAGGGAAGGGTGGGAAGGGTGGGAAGGAGAGCGATGGTGGGAAGGAAGACGTATGGGGGAGGGAAGGGTGGGAAGGAGAGCGATGGTGAGGAGCAGGAGGAGCGAAGAGCGAGGCGCACACGGCGGGCCGCCGCCGCCCCCTGCCTCTGGGAGGGAGCCTAGGCGGCTTCACCTCCCGCGGAAGCGCAGCACGACTGTGGCCTCTAGCCGGTGCGGAGCGCACTCGACAGCGGCTGCAGTCTGAAGGCCCTCTGGGTGCGGTCTTGGGGCTGCACGTGGCCCATCTTGGGCCGTCTGGGGCCCTCGTGGTGCCCTCTTGGGTCGTCCTGGGTGGGGGCACGCCGCGAGGCCCTCCCGGGCCGCCTCGGGCCAGCCTGGGGGGCCTCCGGGGCTTTCTTGGACGCGCGCGGGCCCAAAAACGAGAACACGCAGAGTCCCTGGAGGCATTCGCGGGGCATCGAAGATGTTTGCCTCTGGGGAGACCCTTGGGAGCTCTCTTGGACTGGTGTTGAAGCGTTTCGAGAGCCGCTGGGGCAGTCTTGAACCTTTCCCTCTTCCTCAGCCTCCTCGTCCTCCTCCTCCTCCTCCTCCTCCCTCTATCGTCTTCCTCCTGCGGATACTCCTCCTTCTCCATTCTCCCCAGCTTCCATCCCTCCCTCCTTCTTTCCTTCTCGAGCTTCTCCTGCTCCATCTCGTCCTCCACTTCCTCCTCCTCCTCCTCCTCCTCCTCCTCCTCCTCCTCCTCCTCCTCCTCCTCCTCCTCCTCCCCCTCCTCCTCCCCCTCCTGCTCCCTCTCCTCCTTTCCATCCGCCGCCTCCTCTTCTCTTTCCCCCCCCCCGTTCCTTCTCCTGGGCCGTCTTCCAGGCATCTTGGGCTGCTTTCGAACCACACTGGCTCGCCTGAAGGGCAATATTGCTGCACAGGGAGCGGGGTTCCAAGCAGTGCGGCTGGCCCCTGGCCCTCGGTTTGACGTCCAAACAATGCTTGCGCTCAGGGGCTCTTACGTGTTACTCGGGAGCTGGGACTGCCTGTCGGTCAGGCGGTTATGTTGCCGCTGTCGCCGCCCCGTCGCCGCGTCGGCGCCGCCCGTCGCCTGGGCCTGTCTGTTGGCTTGGCGGCTATGTCGCCGCCCCGTCGCCGCCCCGTCGCCGTCCGTCATCTGGGCCTGTCTGTGGGTCGCCGCGTTTCTTGCCGCCCTCGCCGACCCGTGGCCGCCCCGTCGCCGCCTCGCCGCCGCCCGTCGTCAGGACCTGTCTGCCGGCCACAGCGATTGTGTCCGCCGTCGCCGGCCTGTCGTCGCCCCACATTGATTGCACAGCATATATACATACAGGCATGCGTACATGCGTACATGCATACATACATACATACATGCATGCATGCATGCATGCATGCATACATACATACATACATACATACATACATACATACATGCATACATACAGACAGACAGACAGACAGACAGACAGACAAACAGACATACATACATATACACATACATAGATACATACAGGCAGACAGACAGACAGACAGGCAGGCAGGCAGACAGACAATGCATGCATGCATGCATGCATGCATGCATGCATGCATACATACATACATACATGCATGCGTACATACATACATATATACATACATAAATACATACATACATACATACATACATACATACATACATACATGCATGCATGCATGCATGCATGCATGCATGCATGCATGCAGGCGTATATACACACACAGCTACATACATACATACATACATACATACATACAGATATACATACATATATACATGCATACATACATACATACATGCATGCATGCATGCATGCATGCAGACAGAAGACAGACAGACAGGCAGGCAGACAGGCATGCGTGTGTAAATACAGTCATACATTCATACGTACATACATACATACATACATATATACATACATACATACATACATACATACATACATACATACATGCACACATACATACATACACGCATGCATGCATGCATGCATACATACATTCGTACATACATACATACATACATGCATTCATATATATATATATATATATACATACCAAAATGCATGCATACGTAAATACAAGCATAATCACCTACAAACATACATACTGACATGTATGCATGCACGCATACATACAGACATACATGCATAGCTACAATTACATTTATACACACATACACACAAACCTACATACAGATATGCATACATACATACAGTCATACATGCAGGCATGCATGCAGGCATGCATGCATGTACAGATACATAAACACATGCAGCCAATCATGCATACATAATACATGCATGCATGCATATATACATAGTGTCCCTCAACCATGCAGAATGTGTAGCGCAATGCATGTTCAATACACGCGCTCACTCTCTGGGGGTTCCAATCAACTGCCTGTGCAAATTATAATTTCTGTTTCAAGCACAACGTGCCAAACCCGAATGTTTAGAAGCATTGGGAGATCGCAACATGTGTCACAAGCGTTCAAGCTCACCGCGTGTGTGGCCGATTTGCTCGTTCACTGCCATACACCACGTGACATCACATAACTTCGCCTGCTCGCGGCCGACCCGCTCTGGGACGCGGTCCGCCAGGATCTGGAGTGCATCCGCCGATCCTGCCACGGGCGCCCACGCCAGAGTCAGGGCCCTCGTTTCCGCGAAGACATGGCCAGTAGGGACTACTTCATCTCCCGAGCCTGGACGCGCTCGGCGGTTGCCTCCGTGCCCTGCGCGGACCTCATCGGCATCCTCTCGCTCGGGGTCAGCGCGAGCCAGCGCGCGCTGCTCCAGCGGCCGTCGCCCAGCGCCTTCGCCGTGGCATTAAAGTCCTGCATTGGCAGGTCGCTGACCTCCACGACCTGGTCGCGGGGGGGCCAGTCGATGACCTCACCCAAAGTCCGCGAGATTTTCACTTCGTCGATCTCCAGCGCCTGGGATGGGTACGACACGGAGAGCACTGTGCCCACGTACTGCGTGACTCAGGGACTGAGCGGTCGCGTCGGCCAGGAGCCACGTGCAATGGCCGCGAGGGTGGCCAAGCCCTGCCTCGAGCAACGTGCCCAAGCGCTGCTTCGCGATCTTCTGGAGGAGGTCTCGCTTCGCGCTGACCCCATCGGCGCGCGTCGTTGCTGAACGGACCCCGCCCTCGTCGCCCCCTCGGCGCCGCCAGCTCCGTCGCCCACGAGAGCCAGCAGCCAGGGCCCCGGCCGGCCGAGCACGGTCTGGCGGAGCGGCAGGCCGCGCAGTGCTCCCAGAAGCGGCGCGCTCCCGGGCGCGCCTCCAGAGGGCCTCCACTGCCCCCTTGGGCGGCCGCATTCTCGGCGGCGGCTCGCACGCGCTCGACGTGCTGGAGCTCGCTCGCCTCGTCGTCGAGCGGGCTCCCCCACGGCAGCCGTCGGCCCCCCGGGCGTTGCCTCCTTGGCCGACGCGCGGCGGCGCTTCGCTGGGCGCGCCGCCGCGGTGGTCTCCTCCTGCTCATCATCCTCCTGCGGCGGCGGCTCGAACGGCGGCGGCAACGGAGGTCGCTGCTCGAGGGTGCCCGTGTCCGAGCCTGCACCACTGGCCTCGAGGCCTGCCCAGGCGATGGCCGTCGCGACCCGAAGCGAACCCCCAGCCTCGGGTGCCAGCACCAAGCCCTCCTTGACCCCCCTCGAGGCCCCGTGCGTCGACCTGTCTCCACACGCCGATATAATCCAGGCCGCCTGCACCCGCGGGGCACCGTGCCGAGCACTCGCCTGCGCTCAGCTGCAAAGGTGGTACAGCGTCTCCGATGGCCGACCTCCACGACGGCCTGCCGCTTGAGGGTACCAAGCGAAGTACCCGTCGCTCGCGCCGACCTGTGAAGCCTGGATGAAGCGCCCGCCGCCAGAATAATCGCCCTCGTATGAGTCCGGGGCATAGACCACCTCGACGTACGGCAGCTCTGTCCCCTGGTCGGCGCCCGCCAGGTCGCCGACTTCGTAAGCACGTGGTCGCCGGGTGAGAGCCGCAGCGTCGGCACCAGCCTCCCGTCCGACAGAGCGTCGAAACAGATCCCCCTCGGCGAGGGCCATGCAAATCTTCGGCCGCGCATCTGCCGCCCGCGACTGGCTGCACTCGCCCACGCCGCGCCTTCACAAGGCCATCCCCCGCGGCGTCCCAGGGCAAGGGACTGGGAACCGCGGTGGGCGGAGGTGGCCCGCAGGCCCGAGAAGCATCCCGATAGCGCACAAGTGGGCTCTGCTGCCGGGCCGCGGGCACCAAGCGCCCTCGCTACCAGCCCTGGGTGGCCTCTGGGCTGGGGCGTCCACGCCAAGATCACTGCGGAGTTTACACGTTCGGTTAAACGGTGGGCTCTTCTCCAGGGGGCTCTGCGTAGGCCTCTTTACAATGAGACCATCCATTAACACAGTCGTACATAGACACCTATACATATATACATACATACATACATACATACATACATACATACAGACAGACATACATACATACATACATACATACATACATACATACATACATGCATACATACATACATACATACATACATACATGAATACATACATACATACATACATACATACATACATACATACATACATACATACATACATACATGCATACATACATACACACACATACATACATGCATACATACATACATACGTACATACATACATACATACATACATACATACATACATACATAGATACATGCATACATACATACATACATACATACAACACATACAATACATACATACATACATACATACATACATACATACATACATACATACATACATACATACATACATACATACATACATACATACATACATGCATGCATGCATGCATGCATGCATGCATACATACATACATACATACATACATACATACATACACACACATACATACATACATACTTACATACATACATACATGCATGCATGCATGCATGCATGCATTACATACATTAATTACATTACATACATACATACCTACATACATACATACATACATGCATACATACATACATACATACATGTGTGATAGAACAATTACAACAAGAAGACTTATAAAAATGATAGCCGTAATGAAAATACGACGGATAATAATAACAGTACGGGTACTAATATAGCAACCATAAGAATCATAATAATAATGATAATGAGAACGATAAGAACAAAACTTACAGACATGATAACTGTGGTAATACTGAAATTAAAAATTATGCGGCTGACAATACTGACGAAAATCATGGTACTTATGAGAGTAGTCAGAATGATAATTAATACAAACATAGAAAAGATAACGAAAAACAATCGTAATGATACCATTTGTTAGCATTAGTATTATGAATATTACTACCGTCATAATAAAATACACACATGTGCAGAAATCTCACTCGGGGCTCCTCCACTATGAATGGTCCTGGCGCTTGGAGTCCCCAGCAGCTATAAGGATGGAGGCCGGTCTGTGTTCAAAACCATACTCTCGCGTCAGTCACACACACACACACATCTCCCCCAAAGCTTCTGCCAGCACCATGTGGGACCCGACCCTTTCCCCAGCAGGCGCGCGCAGTAGCTAAATGGCAAGGCCGCGTTGGCATTCGCATGGGAGAGTTGGAACGGGCGGGTGCACAGCAGCATTACGGATCTTAGCCGCCCCGACACGCAACACGCGACGCGACACGTAGCGTATCGATACGGAGCTCAACGCGTAGACCGAACACGTAGGTCTGACGCGATACGCTCGCCAAAACGTGGGCCAATACGTTGAGGCAACACGCAACGTATTGACACGGACGTTTTGAGCACGGCACGCGGTTCGTATCAAAACGGGCGTATCGAGGCAGCTAAGTTACGGATGCCTGCTGTGTTCAAATTGGCCCTCCTCCTCCTCCTCCTCCTCCTCCTCCTCTTCCTCCTCCTCCCCCCCCCGGCTAGTATCATCCGCCTCGTTCTCTTCCAGGACGACGACTAGTAAAGCATCGAGTTTCGCGCAAGCGTGCCGCGAGGCGCCTGGAGCCTGTGCCCCAGCGCTCAGCGCGTAGATCGTCGGGGTCTGGTCGGCGGGCCAATCCTGAGGGGCACGCCATCTGCTGTCTGACACGAATGGGTGCAGGAGGGGCAGGAGGGATGAGCAGCAGGAGGAGGAGGCAGGAGAAGGCAGGAGCGAGGAGGAGGGAAGAGGTGAAAGAGTAAACCCGTGATGTATCAAAGGTGCTGCAGTACACCCTAGTATCGTCCCAAGTTCCCTCCTCATGAATCCATGCAGGCCTTTTTTCACTGCGAGAAACACTCCCATTGAAAGACGAGTACCCGACGGGTGTGCCATTCAGGCGAGAGCTTCGTTTCGACAACGAGCTGCATTATATCCTTCTAGACAATAAGAAGGAATGCGTCAAAATAGGATCATAAAGTTCAACGAGGTGTCCAGAAAGAGTCCCCCTTGACAGGGAACCGTCCACCATCTGTGTAACTTGTGGGCAAGTCCTCAGTTACGGTCGTTATGCGAGAGACTCATATAAAGATAAAGGGCACCCCATCCGTTCAGCTGTTGTTCTGGTCGGTACATGTCTATAAGCCCAAGACAAGAGGACAAATTTGAAAATGAACCACCCTCCACCCACAACTCAGACGCTGCAGCCCGTGTGGTGCACTTGCTGCCATGCGCGGCAGCGCAAAGCAGCACCTGTGAACAGAATGTCCACGGGTGCCTAATTTGGCATGGACTTCTATAGCACCACGTGGACTGCACCACGTATAGCCAGAAGGGGCCCTGGGACACACAAGTAAATATACACACACACACACAAATAACAGGATTCCCCGTAGCTTCCCATATTTTCTGTATTTTTGTCTTCCCCCCCACTTCCCATATTTTCTCAAATTTTCCTGAGGATCGACGACTAATTGTGTCTGTGTGTTTTTCCACTCCTGAAGAATCAGGGGCGGGGTAGCGCACGGACGGGGCACCATCGGCCGCACCGATGAACGCCAGGCTCCTGACGTCTTGATTGTTTCACGACGTCGACCCCGGAGGTCTGGACCCACTCCCCAGGACTCGCCTCCTCATTCTGATCACTCCTCTTCCTTCTCCTCCTCCTCCTCCTCCTCCTCCTCCTCCTCCTCCTCCTCATCATCATCATCATCATCATCATCATCATCAGCATCATCATCATCATCATCATCAGCATCCTCATCATCAGCATCCTCATCCTCATCCTAATCCTCCTCCTCCTCCTTCTCCTCCTCCTTCTCATCCTCCTCATCCTTCTCCTCTCCCCCCCCCCTCCCCCTGCTCTCCCTCCCCCTCCTCATCCTTTGCAAAACTCACTCCGCTTTCCTCCTTCCCCTTTCCTTCCTTCGTGTCGTCCTTCCTTCCTACCTTTTAGACCCGTCCGATCCCGCGGGTCGCCGTCGGCCAGCGCCCACAGGCCCTCCCTGTCCGACCAGGAGATGGACAGCACGGCTCCGGCCTTCGCGCTCCGAAGGAAGACGAGGACGACGACAAGCGGGGGAGGAAGCGGAGGACAAGGAGGCACGGAAGGAGGAGGCGGAGGGGAGGAGGAGGACAACAAGAACGAGGAGGACGAGGATGGCGAGGGCAAGGAGGCGCCGAGGACGAGGGGGAGGATGGGGGTATGGGAAAACACACAAGCAGGAGATGGGCATCCCCGCCCAGGCCTTCGCGCCGTCGAACTGGCGATCCTCCAGGGACTCTCACTCCTCCTCATCCCCCCTTCTTGTCTTCGTCCACGTCCTCCACCAATACGTCATCCTCCTCCTCCTCGTCCAAAACCTCCTCCTACTCCCCCTCATCCCCATCCCCCAACCCCCTCCTCTCCCATCGCCCTCCGCATAATCTCCCGAAAACAAAAACGAGGGGCGATCAGCCCCAGGGGGGTCTGAGAACACGTTGGGCACCGATCCTTCGTAACCCAGCACGTCTTCTCGTTTCCATCCTCGCTGCGAGCGTAGAGCACCCTGGTCGACAGGAACTTCAAGCAAGGGGCCTTGTCGAAACCACTGGTGATCACGGCAGTTCCCGTCGGCAGCGGCATCATCTCCTCCCAAAAAAAAACATAATCATGGTGCCGACGACCCTACAGGGATAAGTGCGGCGTGCAAGTGCCAATCGCGCCGCGGGGAATTTGCGCGCAAAGCCTATCCCAGGTCGTCGGCCTCCCAGGGGGGGCGGGAGCAGCGCGCGAATTTTGAGAGATTTCCATGAACAGGGTCAACGGTAGGGGGGGATAGGCTTCGGGGGGGATGAATCGACCTGGAATCGGCGATACATCGTCGACAGATCGGCGATGGGCCCCGATAGTGAATCCGCGCCTTCCTGGGCGGGGTGGGGTATAAGGCCCCTGTCGGCGATCAGTGGGCGATTGGGGGTTGATGCATCCCCCCCCCTCTGCCTATCCCCACCTACAGTCGGGCTGCTGAAATAAAGAACGCTAAATCAGGAACGAAGCCCCTCTGCGGCTTCGAAAAAGCCTGGGTGCACGAGAAGGGCTAGAGGAACAACCACGGAAGGACGTAGGGAACATCGAGCCCCTTCCGAATCCAAACTGCTCCTTGTTTCAGCGTCTTGGCTGCATCGCTGCCCCCGAAATGTCCACGAGCACGGGCAGGAGCAGAGCCGGCGGCAGGAACACCAGGGCGACCTGGGTGGCCGCCAGCGCCAGGAAGACCCAGAGCCAGGCGCGGGGCCCTTTGCGGAGGAGGAGGAGAAGAAGGAGGAGGAGGAGGAGGAGGAGGAGGGAAAGGAGGAGGAGGAGGAGGAGGAGGAGGAGGGGAGGAGGAGGAGGAAAGGAGAAGAAGTAGGAGGAGGAGGAGAAGGAGGGGGAGGAGCGAGACAAGGAGGGAAAGGAGGAGGAGGAGGAGGAGGAGGAGGGAGGAGGAGGAGGGGGAGGAGCGGAGGAGGAGGGAGGAGGAGGAGGAGGAGGAGGAGGAGGAGGGGGAGGAGGATGAGGAGGGAGGAGGAGGAGGATAGGAGGAGGAGGAGGAGGAGGAGGGAGGAGGAAGGAGGAGAGAGGAGGGGAGGAGGGGGAGGAGGAGGAGGAGGGGAGGAGGGGAGGAGGAGGAGGGAGGAAAGGAGGAGGAGGAGGAGAGGAGGAGGAGGAGGAGGAGGGGGGAGGAGGAGGAGGAGGGGGGGGAGGAGCGGGGGGCAAGGAGGGGGAGGGGAAAGGAGGAGGAAAGCAGTGCTTAGGCAACGCGCGCGGAGGGGTCCTGTAGCAGTGAAGAACCAGAGCACCAGAAGCACGACGGGACCACCCAGCACAAACATCAGCGCCAGCCCCTTCAGCCTGTCCTTGATGAATGTCCTCGGGGAGCTACAAAAATATCTGATCCCCACATGCCACCCCTTCCTACCTTCCCCACCCTCTTCTCTTCCGTCCCCTACCTCCTTCACCCCCTCCTCCATACCTCCCATCCCCTACCTCACCCCCCGCCCTCCCCGCCCACTCTCTTCACATCCCCTCCGTTTTGTCGCGCGTCAAAATCCCCCACAGTCCTGGCAGTCGTCTTGCTGAAACCGAATCTCGCCTCCAGTACGACAGTCCTGTAGCCCTCCCACGGCAAGTCCAAGATGCTGGACACGATCCCGAACAGGCCCACGAAGACCACTCCGGTCCAGAGGTCACCGAGCTGCAGGTTCACGCACAGGCCGTCTAGCCAAGGAAACCCCCGCAGAAGCCAGAACGCGAAGAACACCCCGATGTCAAAGACGCTCTTGAGGAGCCCGACGGTGCTCTTCGCCCTGCAGTACATGTTCGAGGTGGCGCGCTCAGCCTCGTCGTCGTAGATGTCCTCCAGCTCCGAGGGCAATGGACTCCCGATCTTAGACATCTGCAGCAGCTGGCTGGACAGGAACACAAGCTCGAGCACCAGTACGGGGAGGGGTATGAAGAGGATGAGGAAGAGGATAACGATAATGAGTTTGGACGTACGGATCTAGAGGCACATTGTTCGACGACCGTGGGCTTTGCAAACTGGAGCTCCAGAACTCCAGCGGGTCGCTGGAGCCATGGGGGAACTGGAAGTATCTATGGAGCGTTCGCTGGCAGGCCCGCTTCGCAAAAGGTGTAAGCTAAGTGGAGCCTTTCGGAGGAGGCGCAGGAGGAGGTGCAGGAGGAGGAGGAGGAGGAGAAGGAGGAGGAGTAGGAGGAGGAGGGATGACGGAGGGAGAGGCACCATGAAGAGCGTGGCGACCAGCAACGTCCATGACACACCCCCAGGCGCAGAGGGGATGTCGGACAACGGCGCCATTGGGGCGACAGCGCCATTGCTGGCGCGACAGCGGCCGTCGTTCACCTATGATGGGGCTTGAACCAAGGCTGCCACAAGGGCGTCGCTGGGCGTCGAATTCTACAACCCCTGCATACGCAGTGCGCCTCTTCCTCCCCCGCCCCGCGACACGCACTACATATTATCCGGGGCTCCGCCCCCCCCTCCCCAATGCTAATAGGATCGCCCCCTCCCCCGCTGGATGGGTATGCCCGTCAGCCTCGCGCGAAGGCCTCGCGAACGGAATCGCACACCCCCACTCCCTTGCGGTCCTGGCCCGGAGTGGTGGTGGGTGCCGGTGCCTCCCCTCTCCCCCCGTGCGTGTGCGGTGGTTCATCCTCGTCGTCGTGGTCGTCGTCGTCGTCGCCGCCACCGCCGCCATCGTCGTCGTCGTCGCCGCCGCCGTCGTCGCCGTCGCCGTCGCCGTCGCCGCCGCAGTCGTCGCCGTCGCCGTCACCGTCGCCGTCGTCCGTCGTCCGTCGTCCTTCGTCCGTCCTCCGTTCTCCGTCCTCCGTCCTCCGTCCTCCGTCGGCGTCGACGACGGCGTCGGCGTCGATGTCAGCGTCGGCGTCGGCGTCTGCATCGTCGTCGCCGCCGTCGTCGTCGTCATTCCTCCCCATCCCATCTGGGGTGGCCTGTGAACCATCGACCCAGGATCACAATCGTCGAAGCTCGTTGCATTTTGATGTGTATGCGCTCGTCGATTGTCTGTCACCCTACTCGCTGTGAACTCATGATCCGCCACCGTGCATTCGGCAAGCTGTGGTGTATTGCAACACTTGTCGCTTGTTTGGCTGGGATTGCTTAATGCTAAGGGGGCGGACTTCCCCCTGGTCGCAAGCATATGCCAAAAATCGTTCCCCACAGTTTTGCTCCCGCGCCTTTCCGGCCTCCAGGCGGCTCCAAGACAGCCACAAAGGTCGCCCAAGAACGACTGCTGGACGCCCCAGGTCGATCCGAAGATGGGCCAGCGAGCTCCCACAGGCTCCAAGGACCCCTTTAAGACGCCCCAAGGGGCCCAAGGAAGCCTCCAGAAGAAACACAAAGAGACCTGCAGCGAGGCCCGCAGACTAGCGTACACCCTGGTATGCTGAAGCGCGGTAGAGTTCCAAATGCTGTCTTGTAGAACTTCTGCGAGTCTTCTTGGGCGGCGCGCCCAGGGGGGAAGTGAGAAGGGGCGGGCCTTCTCAGAAGGCTCGGAAATCCCCCAGCCTTCTGAGAGGCTTCCTGAGCCTTCCCCGAAGACACAGAGAGCTTCTCAGAATGCGCGGGGCTTCTGAGAAGCCCCACCGCCTTCTGAGAAGGTTTTCTCTAGAGGCCTCCTAGATGGGGTCCGAGAAGATGGGGTCGGAAGATATCGCTTCATCGTCGATACATCGACGATGCATCGGCGATGCATCGGCGGCGTCGGCGTGGAGAACATTGGGCCCCATCTCGAGCCTCCAATCACATATACTCCGACCCCATCTAGGATTGTGTTGCTTCCATCGCACTTCAGCACCACACCCCAGAAACAATTCCGAGCACCCAGACAAGTATCGAAACAATGCCTGCCCGGCACGCTGCCGAAGTGTCGAACTGGTATCGCTTCCCAGGGCCCGACACGTGAAAACCCTCCAGCTTCGGTGTTTCCCTGGTGCTCGAAACTCTTTCTCGTGGCCAGGGCTAAAGCAGTAGGCTGGAACATCATAAGCCTGGTAGGGGAGGCCCAGGACCTCCCCCCCACCGCTCGCCGCCGATCCTGCGGAACGCCTCCCCTGCTCTGGCCGCACTCCGCCGCGTGCACTGGCCCCCGCCCCCTCCCGACGCGCTCCCTGGGCGGCCCGGCGCGCCCGTGGGCCGCCGATCCCCTTGAGCCCTCCTGGGCTTCCAGGACGACCCGGGAAGGCCAGCGGAGGAGGAGGAGGAGGAGGAGGAGGAGGAGGAGGAGGAGGAGGAGTGGAGGAGGAGGAGGAGGAGGAGGAGGAGGAGGAGGAGGAGGAGAAGGAGGAGGAGGAGTGGAAGGAGGAGGAAGAGTAGAGGAGGAGGAGAAGGAGGAGGACCCACAAGTGATTTCAAGAGATCGTCGGGCCCATCGTCGTCAGGGTCGGGGAAGTCGAATTCGACCAGGCTGTCCGCGTCGATGCCAAGCGCCCCCTGCTCCCGCATGGCGCGCTATGTCACCGCCGTCTGCGCGCGGAGCCTTTTGACCGCCGCCGCCTGGCTGACACTGCTGCAGGCGCGCAGCTTCCCTCCCACTGGTTCAGTCCGGAACGCCGGGAGGCACGGGATGAGCGGGAGACCGGTGCCCCACAGAGCTTCTCTCTCCGCCGTGGTGCAGAACAGATCGCGAATGGCCGCATGGACCTGGTTGCATTGGGCATACTTCGGCGGCTCGTGCAGGCGGCACCAGGTAGCGCCGAGCTCGCCTCACCGTCGTGGTGGAAGTCCCCCTGTCTTTGAGTCCCAAAGGGCAACGGCGGTGTGAGTCGGGCGGCATTCAGCGGATGACCCAGGGATCAGTCCGCCTTGGGTCGGCGGCCACACGACCGCAGACTCGCCTAGGTGGTCGCCCAGGGGCGATTGTTTGGACACCATTTCTGGGAGATGGCCTGCAGTTTCCAGGTCACGAGACGGCCAATCAATGCAGCATTCTCCGACCCCAGAGACGAAATAATCCTTGACGCCTGAGTTGTGGTCCAGGGTTCCTTTCAGTTGGCATTGCTCGATAACTGGGCGTGCCCCCTGGTCCAGTCCCTGGATGGCGACTTGCAGGGCACGCGTGCGCTTCGCCAGGTGAGTCCGCCTCGCGGGCTGGAGCTGGTCGTCTGCTGGCTGAAGACCATATGATTGTCCCCCCTTGAATGCCCGACAGAACGTTCGTCCGCACTCTTGGATTAGCCAGAGACGGGCGTCTGGCATCCGCGTCGTTCCTGGGACCTTGCCCAAGCTTGACCTGGCATCCTCTGGGAGCCCCGAGGCGAACCGTGGCCGGGCAAAGAGGGAGCACACGACATGAGTCATGCCCAAAATTGCGCGACCGGCCTGGGGAAAGTTTCCCTTCGGGCGTCGCGTCAACACCCGCTCTGGGTCCAGGGGCGCTGGCGGCCGCGTGGGCCGGGATAGGCGGGGGGAGACGTCGGGCCCTCGGCGCGGTCGGTGCACGGCTGCGTTGGCGCCACTCGCCACAGCCAGCTCCCGGATGCGGCGCGCACCCTCGACGCTGTCCTCGCGGTGCTCCGTGCACGGTGGCACATGGATGACGACCGCCGCAGCGTGGACCACGCAGTCGACGCGATGCGCCAGCTGCGCAAATTCGCCACCCCCACCCCCGGCCGCGCACGTTCGAGCCGCCCGCACACGGGCAACACGCGCGCCGCCACGTCGGCGGGCAGGCGCTCCACGTCAAGCGCTGCGCAGATTGGAGGCAGCAGCCGCGCAAGCCCGCGGTCGGCGTTGTCCGCGCGCACGAGGCAGAGCACGGCCCCCAGCGATGGCACGTGGCAGAGGACGTCGGCGACGAGCGCCGACCGCAGCACGCTGGTGCCGCCGCTGGCGAAGACTGCGCGGAGCGCCGTGGTTTTGTGCTGCTGCGCCGCGATCGCACGGCGCAGATGGTCGGGCAGCAGGCTGTCGGCGCCCACCGGAGCCAACAGCTCGGCCTGCACGCGCAGCGACACGTCACCTCTAAGCACGCGCTCCACAACGCCGTCGAGATTCATAGTCATCAGCACGGCTGCGGAGAGCGCACGGTTGCCGAAGCACGGCCGCCAAAGCGAAGCAGCGAGCTACGCCGCCTGAGCGAATTCAGGCCGAGCGAGCCGAGGTGGCCGTCGTGCTGCTCCACGCTTACGGGGCCCGCATCGAGCATGGTCGCGATCATGCCCGCGAGGTGCGCGCGCACGTCGTCGCTCCCCAACGGCGCGCGGCACTCGCCCGCAGCAGCTAACGCAGCAGGGCAATCTAGAGCGTTCAGTTGGGAGGCTTAGCCCTCCGCGATGGCACAACGAACCAACTTACCCAACGGAGTAAGCAGCCGTTCGCCCTTCCACCCTGCAAACTCTAGGACGGCAAAGAGCACCAGCCCGCACACGTATTCACAGCTGCCCCGATGCACCGACTCGGCGGCCACCTTCTCATTCAGAGCCGCGAGCTCTATGCTGCGGCCGCAACACAACGATCGCCGCAACCCGTTCCTCGCCCGAGCGCGTGCCGACCACGATTTCCTCGAAAAGATTGCCACAACCGGTGGCGAACTTCTCCTAGACGCCCGTCGTGATGAACCGGACATGCAAATCAGCGTCGTCAGAACTTCTGGCTCTCCAAAAACTGGCAGGCTGTCGTCGCCGACGGCATCAGTCGCCAGCAAGTCGTTGGTGGTTGACAGCAGCAGGTCTCTTTCCTGCCGCGCCCAGTCTTCCGCCAGACGGCTTGACACATCTGTCTGCGTAAATGATGACCGGCATGCAGCTACCAGCGCCCCAGGAGGGCCCCAAGACGGCCCAAAGAGGCTCCCAAGACTGCTTCCGACGGCGTCAGACGGGCCAGGAACGCCGTAAGACAGCCAAAGAGGCCCCCATTAAGCCCCCAAAGGCCCCCGAGAGGCCCAAGGAGGCCACCAAGAGGCCTCCAAGAGGCCCCCAGAAGCTCCCAGGAGGCCCAAGAATGACCCAAGAAACTCCCACGAGGTCCCCTCATCCTTCTCCTCCTCATCCTCCTCTTTTCTCCCTCGCCTTATCCTCCTCTTCCTCCCCCAAATTTTCCCCGAAGAACTTCCGAAACGGCTGCGGGACCGCATGGTCCAATTGCGTGGCCAGACTTTGCCCCCAAACTGTTGGCCACATAGGCGCATCCTAAAACGCACGGGGCGGCGGTGATTCGCCGTAGGTGTCTTCGATACGTTCCCCAGACCCCCGAAGTCATGATATTTTCATGACGCGACACCCAGAGGTCAGGACCCGTTTTCCGGGACCAGTTCTCCATCCCGAGTCGTTCCTTGACGGTCCCGAGGCCCGCTGAGGGCCCCCAGAGGCCGAAAGTAGCGAAAAAACTCCCGCCGTGATTCCCCAATCAGTGCTTGCACTGAAGGGGTCCTAGCGGAGGTTGAAAGATTTGGCGAAAGTTTCCCGCCGATTTTGGTCGCACGCTGGGTTCCCGGGTTCCCGGTTCTGGGTTCCCTGATTCCCAATTATTGGTTCCGGCCCGATTTCGGTGGGTTCTGGGTTCCCGGGCTCCCGGGTTCCCGGTCGATCTCCTCGGGTCAGCGAAAACCATACACTGATTGCGGTTTTTCTCTGGTGTAATTTCTTCATGACTCGAGGGTGTCTGGGTCCCCTGTTACAGCCCTGCTCCTGCACGCCTCGAGAGGAGGAGGAGGAGGAGGAGGAGGAGGAGGAGGAGGAGGAAGAAGAGGAGGAGGAGGAGGAAGAGAAGGAGGAGGAGGAGGAGAAGGAGGAGGAAGAGGATAGAGGAGGAGGAGGAGGAGGAGGAGGAGGAGAGAGGGAGGAGGAGGAGAAGGAGAAGAAGGAGAGAGGAGGAGGAGGGGGAGGAGAAGGAGAGGAGAAGAGGATAGAGGAGAAGGAGGAGGAGAGAGGGAGGAGGAGGAGAGGAGGAGGAAGAGGATAGAGGAGGAGGAGGAGGAGGAGGAGGAGGAGGAGGAGGAGGAGGAGGAGGAGGAGGAGGAGAGAGGAGGAGAGGAGGAGGAGGAGGAGGAGGAGGAGGAGAGGAGGAGGGGGAGGAGGAGGAGGAGGAAGAGGGAGAGGGAGGAGGAGGAGGAGGAGCGAGGAGGAGGAGGAGAGGAAGAGGGGAGGAGGGAGGAGGAGGAGGAAGGAGGAGGAGGAGGAGGAGGAGAAGTGAGGAGGGGAGAGGAGGAGGGAAGAGGGGGAGAGGAGGAGGAGGAGGGGAGGAGGAGGAGGAGGAGGAGGAGGAGGAGGAGGAGGGGAGGAGGGGAGGAGGAGAGGAGGAGGAGGAGGAGGAGGGAGGAGGAGGAGGAGGAGGAGGAGGAGAGAGGAGAGGAGGAGGAGAGGAGGAGAAAGGAGGAGGAGGAGGAGAGGAGAGGAGAGGAGAGGAGAGAGGAGGAGGAGGAGGAGGAAGAGGAGTGGAGGAGGAGGAGGAGGAGGAGGGAAAGGGAGAAGGAGGAGGAGGGGAGGAGGAGAGGAGGAGGAGGAAGAGGAGGAGAGCAGGTGGGAGGAGGAGGAGGAGGCGGAGGAAGAGGAGGACGAGGGTCAGGTGGAGGAGGAGGAGGAGGAGGAGGAGGAGGAGGCGGAGGAAGAGGAGGAGGAGGGTCTGGCTCCTCCGCCCCCAGATGCCCACATTTTCACCAGAGCCCGCTGCCACCGCCCGTCCCTGCGAGCCCGGCTCACGGCCCCCCGTCCAGCACCGCGAGGGTCCCGCCGCCGAGATCCTCCTGCGCGCTCCGCCCCCTCTGGCGCAGAGGCGATCTCCGGGAGGCCGCAGCGGAGAGGGAGGAGGAGAAGCAACAAGGGGGAGCGGGGTCAGAGAAGGAGGAAGAGGAGGAGGAGGAAGAGGAGGAGGAGGAGGAGGAGGAGGAAGAAAGGGAGGAGGAGAAGGAGGAGGAGGGGGAGGAGGAAGGGGACGAGGAGGAGGAGGAGGAGGAGGAGGAGGAGATGGAGATGGAGAAGGTGGGGGGAAACGATTCGCGGAGGAGCAGGAGGAGGGGAGGCGGTGCAAAGAGGAAGCGGGAGGAGGACGAGGAGGAGAAAGGACGATGGTGATGATGACGGTGGGGAACGAGCAGCAAGGGCAACAAAAAACATGAGGAACACACGCCTGGGGAGGGATGGCAAGAAGCGATAAGAGAAGGTGATGGGAAACAGGAAAGAAGCAGGAGGAGGACGACGACGATAAGCAGCAGGAGCGAGATGAGAACAACGAGGCGGAGCAGCAGCAAGAGGAAGAGGGAGACGATGAGCCAAGACAGAAGGGGGAAGGAGAAGTGGCAGCGGGAGGAGGGCGAGTGTTTCCCTTCTCCAGCCCCTCCACCCACCCACCGACGCACCCCGCCCACCAGACCCTGCGACGGACAGGACAGAGTGACCGAACGCGCAGAGGAGGCAGAGAGCCAAAGATGGCCACGGGAGCGCTACTCCAGAATCCCCCGTGCCCCCAACGGGGCAAGACATCAAGGAAACGACTCGGTGCAGCGGATAGTGGCCGCCGAGTGAGCTACCTGGCGCAGCCTGGTCATGACCGCACGATCAGCGCCAGTGAATATGTACCCGAGGCTGCCCTGGAGAGCTTCCGAAGCGCAGCCGCAAGCGCCCTCGTAGGCGGCCGAACCCGTAGCCAAGTGTTTCGCATTTTACTTGCGAGGAGAGTACGCTCGTCGACCCAGTGTGGCAGAGCCGCGTTTCAACGTGATGTTAGCGTGAGGGCACAAGCTGGCATGCCACCGCATGGTCGTCCATCACCGTGCTCATACAACACCAAGCCCAGTATGCCACTCTGCGCTGGCCTTCGGGTACCGAAATCGTGAAAGGATGGCGCCTCTCCAGGATCACGGAGGTACACACAGGGAGAGCAAGATCAGCAAGACGAGCAGCAGGATGTTCACGACCTTCAGGGCGAAGTGCGAGATCCAGGGCAGCAGCCAGAGAAGAGCAAGCTTCACGATCTTCAGACGACGTGCAACCGAGCACCCTCGTCAATCATGCCCTGGGACGGCCACGGCCGAGACTCCACAGTGCACACGTTTAAATGAAAGTAGTAAGACCCACAGGGCTGGAGCTAAACAGTGTTTTTCGTTGTCGTGTTGGTTTCGTTGTCCTTGCTGCGAAACGAAATCAAAACGAAAACGGTCCACCAAATCGCCAAAACACCGTCAAGCTCGAGACCTGCTGACCCACAGAACTGCCGACGATGTGGTTTCCATGGCGTGGGTACCGCACGATCTCCACAAGACAAGTCGCCCGACCCAGGATGCGCACGACCAGGCGGACGCAGGCGACCACCACGAGTTCGTAAGCTCGCAAGGCGGCTGGCTGCCACCCAGTGACCAGGCCGATCGTCAGAGGGCCCATCATCAGCATCGTCGTCGTCTCCTTCCCTGGCAGCATCGTGGGCCGCCACTACCCTCCGCCTGAACTTCAGACATACCCCCAATGTGCCACCCGAGCGTTTGACCAGGATCTGCAACTGTCAAGTGGTCCCCGCAGTTCAGGTAGCGCTGCAACCAGAACGGCAAACCGGCAGACCAGCAGCACTAGGAACCAGGGACCAGATACGCACATTGGCCACCTCGGAGCCTCTGTGGTGCTGAGGCGATAGCGACGACTGGGCCACAGACCATGTGGACCATGACGCCGCGAGACGTGATGTAATGAGCAGCATTGTGAACGCTTGCGCACCGCACTTTACCGTGGAAGTCGAAAGTGTTGATGTGTTCGCGGAGATTCTACCATCCACGCAAGTGAACCACACAGCGAAAATCCAATCAAGGATTTAATGTTCGATAGGGTTACTCGGTTGGACACATATCGATTTCAACATCGACATTCAAATCGACAGGGTGTGATTACAGGTCCGGCTGTCCAAACACAGCGAATACCTTATACCGACAGGCGCCTCGACTCGTGTTAGAATGTGGGACACATGGTAAGCAAGAGTATGTAAAGCAGGTATGTGGGTTACTCTGTTCAACTCTTTCCCCACGGCAGAAACGCCTCAGATGTACCACCCGTTCCTATCACCTAGGAAACGTCATGCCCGCAGCAGTCGTTCGACGAGCGGTTACTCGATCGACTGGGAGTCGAGTGGCTGAGGGCTGGATCGAGTGCTTGCCCACTGACGGCTGTGGTGACCTCCGGCCACGCAGGCCCGGGCCTCCCGACCGCCCCTCCTCCTCGAACTCCTTCGCGCTTCCCCCCTGCTGGAGGCCTCCTAGAGGGGTCGGAGTAGAAGAGGGTCGGAGGAACGCGCAGCATCGCCGATGCATCGGCCGTGCATCGGCGACATCGGCGATGCATCGGCGACGCCAACGTGGAGAATATCAGGCTCCGCATCAAGCCGCATCGCCGATGCGTCGGCGATGCGGCGCGATCCTCCGACCCCATCTTCTCGGATTCCATCTAGGAGGCCTAGACCTGCGCGCCTCGCCGCTGCACGTCCGTCCTCATTTCTGCTCGGTTACTGGGGTGAGGCATCTCCAGGTCCCAGGAAAAAAAATCAAGACGAGGCCAGGAATCGGGTGAGGATACATCGAGACTCTATGAGACCTGGCGGCTCTGGAGGATGCATCGGGCGCCGCGACCTTCTCAGAGCGTCCCAGAGCGCTCTGGGAGAGTTCCGGAACGCTCTGTACCCAGACCCCCGACGTCATGATTTGCATGACGCGGCCCCCAGAGGTCCGAACACATTCTCCGGGATCGGTTTCTCATCCCGAGCCGTTTTTTGACGGTCCCGAGGCCCTCCAGGGGCTCCTAGGAGCCGAAAATAGCGAAAAACCTCCCTCGCGACTTTGTTCACAACGCGAGTGGGTTTGGGGAACGGATTTTCATTTTCGTTCTGGCCCCGCCTGAAAACAGACTTCCCGAAAGCCTCCTCCGCAGCCCTAGAGGCCTCCTAGATGGGGTCGGAGTACGTAGATGGGGTAGGAGGAACGCGCCGCATCGCCGATACATCGGCGATACATCGCAGATGCATCGGCGATGCATCGGCGACATCGGCGAGGCGTCAGCGCCATCGGCGCGGAAAAAAAACAGGCTCCGCATCGCGCCGCATCGGCGATGCATCGGCGATGCGGCGCGATCCTCCGACCCCGTCCACTCCGACCCCATCTAGGAGGCCTAGAAATCAGGTCGGGCATGTCCTCCTACAGGGAAGTTTGAAACGAACAATAAAAAAATACCCCAAAATACTCAAGAGCAATCAAGATTCATCAGAAAATCGTCCCCAGACTATGTTTTTACTATTTTCGAACATTCCTCCTGTAGAGAGACAGGCCCGACTTAGGCAAGGGGTCAACGCAGGGGCGCGCCGCGAGGCCGCGCGGGGCTCGCGGGAGCATCCCGAGCAGCTCGGCTGAGAGGGGGGCGAGATGGAGGCGAAGGAGGGGGAGGAGAACGCGGGATTGGAGGGCAAGGGGGAGGGGGAGGCGGATAGGGGCGGGGGGGAAGAGCGCAGAAGGGGGGGGGAATGAGAATGCAGGACTGGAGGGCAAAGGGGAGGGGGAGGCGGATAGGGGTGGGGGGGAAGAGCGAGCGAAGAAGGGGGGGGAAGGAGAATGCAGGACTGGAGGGCAAAGGGGAGGGGGAGGCGGCAAGCTAGGTGCGCTCGCGTCATATCTGACGTCCTACCCCTCCCTCCCATCCCTTACCATGGCGCTGATTTTCTCTATCCGCGGACGCGTGTCGTAGCGGACCTGTGGCTCCGCGCGCGCGTGCGTAGTGGGTGGTGGTGCGCGTGCGTGCGTGCGTGCGTGTGTGCGTGGTTGTGTGGTGGTGGTGGTGGTGGTGGTGGTGGTGGTGGTGGTGGTGGTGGTGGTGGTGGTGGTGGTGGGTGGTGGTGGTGGTGGTGGGGTGGTGGTGGTGGGTGGCTGGTGTGTGGTGGTGGTGGTGGTGGGTGGTGGTGGTGGTGGTGGTGGTGGTGGTGGTGGTGGTCGGCGCGGTGGTGGCGGGCGGATGGGCGCGCGAGAAAGAGGCCCGCGCTGGGGCGAGAACGCCACCCTGAACGACGGAGGCCAAACACCGATCCGAAAATGAGGCCCACGCTGCAGCGGGAGCACGATTCGGAACGATTCGGGAGCAGAAATGAAGCCGGCGCCTCAGCGAGAGCAGCATTTTGAAAAAAAACGCAAGCGAAAACCTGTTTCCTGGGAATCCTGTGTAAAAAAACAGTACGCGGGGGGGGTCGGATATCTTCGGGACGCCATCAGGGGAAGTGGGAGAGTATTTTCATATTGTGTAATTGTATAGGGGTGGGGGAGAAGAGCGAAGAAGGCGGGGGGGAAGGAGAATGCAGGACTGGAGGGCAAGGGGAGGGGGAGGCGGATAGGGGTGGGGGGGAAGAGCGAAGGAGGGAGGAGGGGGAAGGAGAATGCAGGACTGGAGGGCAAGGGGAGGGGGCGGCGGAGCGGCAGCCCGAAAATGAGGCCAGCGCTCCCTTCAGCGGTAGCATCACTCTTTTCTTTCACAACAGAAGAAAAACTCCCAGAAATCCTGTGTTCAAAAAATCAGTACGCGGAAAGAGCCCGACACCTTCCGGTCGTCATCAGGGGAGAGGGGACAAGATTATTCATATTGAATAATTGCAGAGCGAAGGAGGCTTCACTCGTGGGCGATTAACAGGCTACGTCAGGGGCCTCTCGCGAATGGGGCCCGAACGGTAGCGGCCAGGAGGTGCCCCATCACTTCTCGTCTTGCTGCTGCACTCGGCGCCAGACGCTCGCATTCGCTGTGCCCGCACTGCGGGTGATGAAGGGACGAACAGGAGCAGAAGTGAGGGGCAAGGAGAAGGAGGTAGAGGCGCAGCAGCAGCAGCAGCAGCAGGACGAGGAGAGAAAGAGGATAGGAGAGGGAAAGGGACCACGGCAAAATCTGAATCAGCGGGGAGACGGTTGCTTACCCAACTCATTTGGATACCTTGACGCCCTCGAGCCCGCCCGCGGGGATGACACCCGAACAAACAATGGGTGCCGCCTGTGCAGGTTGATCGCCGCATTACCAAATTGAACTCTGCATTCGTGCAACCAAGCACACCAACACTGCGCGCGCGTACCACGAATACCAGCACAGCGGAAACAGCAAACCGCCCTTGACACGAATTGGCAATCACCGAAGCTATCGCGTCGGCGTCATCGCGGAACCAGGACGTAGGAGAACGCAAGCAACCAGCATAGAAACGAATCGGAAGTTGGCGCGAAGAACGCGGTGTTGCCGACACGCACTTCAGACCCCTCTCGTATCCCCAGAGCGCAGGAAATCAACTCAATAACAAATCCAGCAAAACAAATGTTCGCGAAGAAGCTAGCGCTGACGCAACTGCACCCCAGAAAACCCGCGAGGACAATTTGAACTGCTGACCCCCGAAACACTACACCCAAAGAACTCACGGAGAACACAAACCTACCCACCGTGCCGGAGCCCGCTAAAGCAAACGCAGCACACGGTGTGGGTCCAACAACAAGAAATACCAAACCTGAAACTTCGCCAAGCGTGCCAAATGATGACATCGTGCGGCAGGCACCCAGCGGCTTGGTACCAGCATGCGCCTGACAGGCTGCCAAGAAGACCACGAATTGACCAATTTTGCCAGATACCCTTGCCGCGCGTGAGAAACCGTAGGTGTTCCCATAGGGTCGCCCTCCCCCGTGCAACCGATAGAAGAAGCTCCTCTCGGGCCCCTGAAGCCACCTCGAGAAGAAGGGGCGCGACTCAAGCGCAAAGCCACAAATGCGATGTATTGTTAAGCCACGGATTTGAGGAAGAAAGGAAGAGAAGGAAGGTGAAGAAGGAGGACGAGGACTAGGAAGGAGAACGACGACGAGAAGGAGGAGGGAGGAGCGACAGAGGAGGGGCAGAAGCAGAACAGGGAGTTCGAGGAGGGAGGAAAAGAAGGCGGAGGAGGAAGAGGAACAGTGGGAGCAGCAGCGGGAGAGATGAGGGACAGCAGCAGGAGACGCAAGAGAAGGCGTCAGTGGAGGAGGGGGGCGGGGAGTGGGAGATAGAGGAGGTGCAGCAACGGGAGCAGCAGCAGAAAGAGAAGAGGAAGGGGCTGCAGCAGCAGCAGGAGCAGAGGCAGGAGCAGGGTCATGGACAGGAGCCAAACAGGAGCAGCAGTAGCAGCAGCAACAGGATGGGCAGGAGGAACAGCAGAAGGTGGAGAGGAAGGACAAGGCAGGAGCAGGGGCGAGGGACGGAGGAGGAGCGGGAACAGGAACAAAGGAGAAGCAGCAGCAGCAGCAGCAGCAGCAGCAGCAGCAGGAGCAGGACAAGGCCTGGGAGAGGTTCAGAAGACTTTGCTGCGACCTGGCTACGTCTCTGCGTAGTCTGACTTCGGCTCAGGCGCCTTGTGCACCGCTTCAGCTGATAAGGCCCCAACGAAAGAAAGTGAGCGTCGCAGCAGGATGAAACGCACGTATCATACGTGCGTCCTATGCCACCGAATGCCGCGCTTCAACGCCGAACGGCGTAGCAAGCCCCACAAAGTGTCGACGATCGCAGGATGATCATGCGAGCAAGTCTGGTTCGACCCACCTACGTGCGTGGAAGACCGGATAGAATATATGCACCGACGTCCATCCTCGCAGGTGGTCCAGAGTAGCTGCCTCAAGCAAAAGGGTGATAGTGTGAGCACTTCTGGCTCGACACGCCTGCGTGAAAGACCGAGCTCGCAGATGGTCTGGCGTCGCAGCCTCAGGTCATTGCCATTGTGGTGCGCATGGCGCGGTATTCGAACACTCAGCAGTTGGCAAAGAAAGAGTCCAGCGTCGACGCCAGGAACTCGCCATGTAAGCAAGTCCTGATGTTCCTAGATACGTTCCCACAAAATGGACAACGGCGAGGCACAGTGACCCAAGAGCGCGATCCTGAACGAACGCCCCCGCTGAAGCGGGGGGCACTGGCCCCTGGGCAGAGTTTGCAAAGCACCTGGCGTCGATAACAAGGGCGAAGTACTCACGCGTACTGCACGGAAGCGTCTCTCCAACCTCGCTCATCCGCAGGTGGCCGCGGCGACACCTGCGGCGATTGCCAGAAGGGCGGAAGCTTTGAGATCCGCCGATCGTGGGGCCCAGTCTGGCTCCACGTCTGCATCCAGCTCGGACCCTGTCTCGGGGTTGCCAGGCCATCCTTCGGGAGAGTCGGTTGCCGTCGGTCCGCCGCCCTGAGGGGCGCTGGAAGTGGGTGCTCCCGTGAGCGACTCTGAGTCCGCGTCTGGCTCGGCCTCCTGCTCAGCGTCGCCAGGACCTCCTTCGGGAGCGCCGGCTCCTGCGACGCTCTCGGTGGTGCCCGTGCTCGTGGTGGGTGCGGTCGAGGCCCCGAGGTCGGAGGGCGACGAGGGCGTGGTCGTGGTGTCGGCTCCGCCGCTCTGCGGCGCGGTGGGAGCGGGCGTCGCCGTGGGCGACGGCGAGGGCGCCGGCGGTGGGCCCGGAGTGGGTGCCGCTGCTCGGGGATCGGCGGCACAGGTTTCCCACAGGGTGGCACCGCAATCGCCGGCGGTGAAGCACCATTCGCCGCGGGCATCGCCGTCCGGGTTGCAGCAGTGGTCCACGCAGCTCGCGCCCCGGTAGGACCAGGACTGCTGGCAGGCGCAGCCGGAGGTGGTGACCCTCGCATCGGAGGGCGGGGTCGTGGGCGAAGGCGTGGGTGCAAGCACGCACTCGCCTGAGATACAGGTCCCTGCGCCATCGTTGCACAGGGCTCCATCATACCTGCGGTTGACTGGATCACCCCCCACCCAATACAACCAAGACAGCGTGTCGCACTCGTCATTGTACATGCACTTCACCTTGCACTCATTGCCAGCATGCAGGCCACAGAAATCGGCGAGAATGTCGTATCCACCTGTGCACAATGAACTCTTGCACGTGCCGAGCTGGCAAAACCCAGTGCCCCCTCCCCCAGGCATGGTGCACAGAGTAGAGCTGCCCTCGAAGAGTCCACTTGAAGTGCAGCACTCCGAGTCTCCGCCCTCTGGGGTGCACTGGCTCCCCTTCGTCAAGAAGCAGCTCTCACAGAAGGCACAGCTAGTACCAACGTCACACTCGCACTCCTCGCCCTCGTCGACCAGCCCGTCCCCACACACGGGCGCGTACGTGGTAATTGCATCGCAGCCCTCGTTGACGCGGTGAGAGATCACGGTGCAAATATCCTCCTTGGTAAAATTCGTATTGAATTGGAAGATACCGTTGAGCGTGCCGTCCCCATAATCCATGATGCCTCCTGTGGTCCCCTGCCCATTATCGAAGGCGTGATCCGCACCGAAATTGTGGCCGATCTCGTGGGCGAAAGTCTTCCAGGCGTTAGAACTGTACCAAGTTACGCCCGTGTTGGCGTAGCAGTCGACGCAGGAGCCAGAGCCGATATTAAAGGTCGCTTGGTCCATGGCACATATGCCCGCGTTCGCGTGCCCGACGTAGGCGAGACCGATGGCTCCACCAGGCCACATGTCGTAGCAATTGTCGAAGAGATGCCATAGACCCTGCCGGGAGCGCTGGCCCCACCTGCTGAACTCTGAAAGCTGCGAACTGATTCCCAGAGCGCAGTCGTCCCAGGACTCTGTCTCCCCGCTCGCATGTGGGATGTAGACGTCCGAGATGGTCAGGACGAAATTGACTTGGGGAGTGTAGACCAGGTTCGCCTTCGCGAAGACGGACTGCAGCCAGTCCAGCGTGTCGTCGACACTGCCCAGAATCCCTTCCGCAGTGTACAGGCGGGTCCCCACCGCCACGCCCATGGAGAGGACTCGGGTCGCCCCGTCGTACGCGTAACAGTCCGTCCACCGCTCGATGTTGTCGGGGGCAAACTCCAGGCGTCGCCCACCAGGGCCCGTAGAGTTCCACACAGTAGCCGAGCGCTCGCCGCCGCCCGTCAGCCCGTCGACAGTCAGCCTGCCAGTGGCGGGGTCCGCCTCGATGTCGAGCAGCTCGCCTCTGATCCAGACCGCGCCGAGCATTCGCCTCCCCACAGCGCTCAGAACTGCGGTATGACCCTTGCTGCGGAACACGGGCTGCTTGGCCGCCAGCGGCAGCTCGCGACCCTCGGCCACCACCACGGCGTTGCTGGCGAAGACAGGGGCGGCCCGATACAGCCGGAGGTCGGTCAAGCGCCCGTGCGCCTCGAATTGCAGCCGCAACGGCGGGGTTGGAGAAAGGGCGGCCCATAAACGAGGGGGGGCGCTCCGCCCCCTGCCGCGCAGGCCGCGGGGGTGCAGCAAAGCCGCCGCCTCCGCGACCAGGTCTCGCCCCTCCGCGTCCGAAAGGGAGAAGGGCACCGCCACGGGGGAGGTGGAAGCAGCAGCAGCTGCTGCGGGCGAGAGCACCGCGGCCACGGCAGCAGCCCGCATGGCACGCGAGGGTGGGGAAGACCGGCGGACCTGGCAGGACGGCCGCGAGCAGTGCTCGACGCAGAACGGCTTCAGCCAACATGGCTGCGGAGGGGAACCGCAACAACACAGCGCGTTTGAACCGCCGACGCCTCGCAAAAAATTCACACGCGTGTGCTGCACGGCTAATGACTACCGGGAAACATGGCACAACCATGTGTCCCTATTCCTGTACGAGAGGCAAACCCTGGAGCAGCCTCTCACGATCCAGCCGGCACCGTGAACCAAACCGCACTGCCTCTGGATATGTGAAACAGAGCCAGGACAGAGAAGGAAGAAAGAGAAGAAAGAGGACAAGGAAGGGAAAACAGTGAGAGACACGGGCGTGCCGAAAACAGCAGCTCTTGTGCAGGGTCTGAACGGGCCTGGTGGACAAGAGCTGAACCTACTCATACTAGACCTCAGCAGGAGCCAAAAACGATCTGCCTCTTGGCCACCTGGCGCCGTTACAACAACTGGGGCGACTGCGCAGACGTCATACAAATTGCCATACCGAAGCGTTGATGTTGGACGCTTGCTTTTGAACACCAGCTCGCAAGGCACGGTTGGGGCATTCTCTTGTACGATTTGACGATCTGAGGCCTGGTAGCAGCATTTTGTGGTCACTTCGGGGGCCTCTCGGAGGCCTGTCGGATGCCTCTGGGGGGCTTCTTGAGGGCCTCCTGAAGCCTCCTAATTCCTTCAACGACCGGGTGGAGGGGACGATTGGGGCCATCTTGGACTATCCTGGAACTCTCGTGAACCGTGTTAGGGCCCTCTTGAGCCGTCTTCGAGCCACCTTCATGCCAGCTTGGGGCTGCTTGGGGCGCTCTTTGGGGGATCTAGGGCCGTCGTTCGCGTACTGAATCCCGAAAAGGCTAGTACGTGAAAACCATTCTATAAGACTCAAACATTTTGACAAGCATGCCTCGCCGGGACCTCGTGATGGTTCTCCCGGCGCCCTTCCGAACCGTCTTGCGACAACGCTGACACATGTATATATATATATATATGTATATATGTAGATGTGTATGTACGTATTTGATATATATATATATATATATATATATATATATATATATATATATACACACGCGTATATTAAATATATGTATATGTATATGTGTTTTATGTACGTATGTAAATCTATATATATATGTATGCGTGCATACCCGCTGGCCCCCATGTGGGGCCACCAGGCTGCGAGGCTTAGGCTTACTGCCAGTTCCAATTTCCAATGTCCAATGTTGCAGTCCTGTTTTCTGCTTCCTATTGTAAATTGGTGAAGTCTGCGCGAGGGGGGGAGCCGAAAAGGACCTGGTTACCATCCCCGAATCGCGTTGTGTGTGAACTCCTGCGGGGCCGTGGGACACATAAAAATTCATGAAATTCGCGCTCCCGGCGCAATACCCCTCGCAAATTACCCTGTATTCGCGTCCCCGAGGCCACGATCCCTTGCAATTTGCGCCGCACTCGCGTCCCCGAACACACAATCCCTAGCAAAATACACCGTACTCGCGCCCCCGAGGCCACGATTTCCTGCAAATTGCATTACATTCGCGCCTCTGGGGCCACGATCCCTTGTAAATTGCGCCACAGTTGCGCCCCCGAGGCCACGATCCCTTGTAAACTATACAATATGCGCGTTCCCGAGGCCAATCAGCAACCCTCCCAAATTACACAAGTCGTGCGTCCCCGAGGCAACAAACCCTCGTGAATTCAATATTCGCGTTCCCGATGCCATTAACCCGCGCAAATTACCAAAAGGTTGCGCCCTCGAGGCAACAAACCATCATAAATTACTCGAGGCTTGCGCCCCCGAGGCAACAACCCCTCCTAACTTACACCATACTCGCGTCTCCGAAGCCAGCATCCGTTGTAAATTATACAAAGTCGCGTCCCCGAGGCCACAACCCCTTGCAAATTGCTTAATAATCGCGCCCCCGAAGCCAGAATCCCTAGTACATTAACCCGTATTCGCGTCCCCGAGGCCGCAAACCCTCGCACATTGCTGAATTCTTACGTCCCCGAGTCAACAAAGCATCGAAAACCGGTGGAGCTCCCTCTGGGGTCACGAAACGGTGTACTCGATAGGGAAGACGCATCGAACCGCGCCACTGGGACCTCCGGTGGAGCTCCCTCTGGGGCCACGAAATTGTGTACTGGGTGGGGGAGGCGGTGGAGCTCTCTCTGGGGCCACGCTGTACTGGGTGGGGGAGACGGGGGAGACGCATCCGAACTGCGCCACTCGGACCTTCGGAGGAGCTCCATCTGGGACCACGAAGCGCTGTACTGGGCGGGGGGGGCGCATGCGAAGTGCGCCGCTGGGACCTTCGGTGGAATTCCCTCTGGAGCCACGAAACGCTGTACTGGGTGGGAAGGGACGTATGCGAACTGCGCCACTGGGACCTTCGGTGGAGCTCCCTCTGGGGCCACGCTGTACTGGGTGGGGGAAACGCATGCGAAGTGCTCCACTCGGACCTTCGGTGGAGCTCCCTCTGGGACCACGAAACGCTGCACTGGGCGTGGAGGACGCATGCGAAGTGCGCCACTGGGACCTTCGGTGGAGCTCCCTGTGTAGCCACGAAACGGTGTACTGGGCGAGGAAGACGCATGCGAACTGCGCCACTGTGACCTTCGGTGGAGCTCCCTCTGGAGCCACGAAACGTTGCACTGGGCGGGGGAGGCGCATGCGAACTGCGCCACTGGTACCTTCGGTGGAGCTCCCTCTGGGGCCACGAACTTGTGTACTGGGTGGGGGAGGCGCATGCGAACTGCGCCACTGGGACCTTCGGTGGAGCTCCCTCTGGGACCACGGAGCGCTGTACTGAGTGGGGGAGACGCGTGCGGGCTGCGCCACTGGGACCTTGGGTGGAGCTCCCTGTGTGGCCACGAAACGTGTGAGGGACGTGCCGAAACTGATGGCGATGAC